GAGCATATTGTGACTTTTTGCTATATCCATCTCTTCCATACAATTTACCATTGTTTGGGACGAGAAGTTTATTTCGCAGGTCGTTTCTAGCTTTGATCACATGCTCATTCATTGTCATTATTCTCTACACGCATCGAAATGGCACACATCCGAGACCAGGAGCAGAGGTGAGAAAGATTTCAGATTCTTGTGAGGTATACTAGGCCGGTTACAGGTCCCTATAATTTGTCATGTTTTCCTGCATACATCCATTCAGACATTTTGGGTAGGAACGAAAAATGAGAAGATTGAGAAAATTTTTTATTTGAACGTAACAAAATGTATTTTGATATTCTGAGCTAAGCTTCCTTCATGATCACTTAGTCATCCAAATGAAGTATCTTTCATCCAAAGAAAGCAAAACTGAAAGAGAATTTACTGCCATTTTTCCTCATCTTCGTTGTTCATTTTTTCAAAAAAAAATGCAATAAAAACAGATTGCGGGCGGTAAGTAGAATGGCCGCAGTAAACCTCCATTCATCTCAGTTGACCTAAGATGAGTTATTCAGAAGAACCTCTTAGGGTTTCGCCCACCTTCTCGTGCAATGGGATAGTCTGAACAGTCGGAAGACCGTTTGGTCAAGTATCACGGTCAATTCAACGTTATGCCTCTTAGATGAGGATAGATCCTAGGGTGAAATGGTGGAGATAGTATGCAAGAGAGGAGCATAAGACAAGGTTCCTGTATAGTTGCTAGTGAGTACTCACGGGACAGTTTAGTTGACGTGTTGTTGCGGTATAAGAACGCGCAAACATGCACAATACCGGGGCCCAAGGAGGAGAGGATCACAGTGCAGCTGATTTCGGCGAACGAAAAAGATAATGATATCTTCTTTTCTTCAGAGTTTGCTTGGATTTTCTCTCAAACCTGTTCAAAACGAAAATTTCCTGATTCTTTTTATTCGATTCATGATCCACAATTTTCGTTTTTCATGAAATTCTCGTCAAAAAATCGTAGTTTTTTTACCCATCCATTTGCTGTGTGATTTTTTGATAGCGGTCATCATCAATTTTTTTCGAAAGCGACCGCTATCAAGGATTGCTCGGCAACGCCGCGAAAATCCTTCACTAGACGGTCTCAATCTACCCTTAGTTCTGAGTCGCCTGCTCAAAAAGTGTATGTGTTTTCTCTTTGAGAAGGCGCAGGATTTTTATGCGTGGAAAGCAAATCGCATCTAGATCAGTAGCTCACTGATGCCGGACTGAGGCGTCCTACGTTCACCGTGGGCTTGCCCCAGCCGAGTTGCGCTGAACAGGGGTTTTCTACGGACCAGTGTTACATTTGAAAGTTGCCACAGTCTTTGCACCTTGTTAGAGGAAAAAAGCATTTCATCTACAGTTTTTCATATTTCATATTTCTCAACATTTTGTTCAACAGATGCGAGAGATCTTTCGTGACCTTTCCTTTCTGTGCAGTTTTCTTAAATTCCAATTTTACACTTTCACGGACTTCAGAAGTTTAGAAGCTTTCGCGAACCCGTTCAAGTTAGACCTTAGACCTAAAATCTTCAATTTTTTAACAACTTGCATTTGTCTCAAAATCACTAATAGTCTTTTGATGTTGTGGAGCTCGCACTTGAACTTGAGTTTTGGAGCTAAATAATCGAAGCATGAGAATTAAAGAGGCTATTTTCTTTCAGGAAGTTCTGGAAAATTGTAATTGCGTCGACGCGAATGGTAATAGCTATGACTTTTGTTATCACCTACCGGAAAATAGAAGTATTCATGGAAGAAGATTTTCCTGCCAATATCTACCAGTAATCAAAAAACTTGGTGAGACTACATGCTTGTTTCGCATGAGATGAAGCAAATTTTTCCTTTCTGAAAAAAACTTTGAGGCACAAAATGCTCATTAGCATTTTAGGTTTATTAGATGCATACAGATTAACTTTGACATGGAAACCATCACCTCCGGCATTTGTTACCGCATTCTCAGACAACCATCAAGATGAAGCTCTAGCTCTTGTAAGTATTTCGTAACAGCCAGCACTAATTGTACTATTTAATAAGTTATTTGTTGAGGTCAAAAGTTTTGCACAGTACTTTAGCAACCAACGCATGATAGTATATGATTTAGGAGATGTTGATCTCAATCTGTTCAAGGTGAATTATGTCGTTTGTAAATATTATTTCAAACTTCTTTCCATTCATATCTTTCCTAAGATAACTACAACGCAGGTTTGCTTCAGGAATGGAAATTTCTCGAGTTCCGTAAATTCAAATTTGAGGACTATCCCGGATACGTAAGGTCGTTAATGGAGTATAGATGGAAGCCGCTTATTATAGCGGTGTGTTCCATAATCAATTGTGTTTGATTCAGTTTGGCGAAGTTCAGAACACTTCATCGAACTAGACTTGGAAAATCTCAGGATCTAATTCATGCAAGGAAATGAAAACTTACAGGATTACTTTCGCATATACAGTGACCGCCAAAAAGTTGCGGACAAACCCCTCTTCCTTTTTCATCGTTCTTTTCCAGAGGGAAAACAAGGATGAAAAAATGTAATAATTGCATGAAGTGATAGAGCTCTTCAAGATCTACAATCTACACTTTGAGCTTTTTGAGAAACATGTATTCTAAAAATTTTAAGAATCTTTTTCTTATAAAGCCCGAAAATGACCGCGTCACAATGTCGCGGACAAAAATTCTTCGAACGCAAAAATTTTCTTTTGAAGCTATTTTGAAGCGAAACAAGTTATCTGAACGGATAAGCATACTATTATACAGAGCTCGTCAGTAACTACGCACTGGTTATGGTTGCCTCCCCCAAAAACGCAAACTTGAGTTTTATTTTGCTCTTCTCAAAAAATAACTTCTAATTTCCTTTATCAAGCCAAATTTCTTCACCCGGAAACCTGTTCAAGACATCCCAAAAAGCCGTCTGGATAAAACAGATGCTCTTTGCCATCCTCTACGCATCGGACGTCTGCTGATGAGTTTCTTTGCTAAAAATGGCCCTTGGCAGTGCTTGCACATGACCCCAGCTGCAACTCACCACTGACCTGTACCGCTTTGCAGGCTTGTAACTCGGCCTGCAGTCAATGTTTGAGTCTGCAATTAGGCTCATTCGAAAGAACGAGACTTCCTGGACACGATGATATGCAAATGACTTGAGTTTGAATAATTTCAGAGATTTGGCGAATGGAGTTAAAAAGTGCAGCCTCAGAGGTGATTGGAGTGAAGGCTCTTATGAACACCAGAACAGTCTTAGAGCTTCGAAATGGATCTATTACAAGAAAGTTGACAGTTTTGAACTTCTAGGATGAAATTGGTAGCGAAAGGAGCTCTCTTCAACTTCAGCTGAAAAGTGCTTAGCCTACAACTGAAACTGCCCTCTTTCACCGCATTAGCCAAATCTCTGATTGCTCAAACTGAACTTATTTGCATATCGTCGTGTAGAGGAAGTCTCGTTCTTTCGAATGAGTCTAATTGCAGACTCAAACATTGACTGCAGGCCGAGTTACAAGCCTGCAAAGCGGTACAGGTCAGTGGTGAGTTGCAGCTGGGGTCATGTGCAAGCACTGCCAAGGGCCATTTTTAGCAAAGAAACTCATCAGCAGACGTCCGATGCGTAGAGGATGGCAAAGAGCATCTGTTTTATCCAGACGGCTTTTTGGGATGTCTTGAACAGGTTTCCGGGTGAAGAAATTTGGCTTGATAAAGGAAATTAGAAGTTATTTTTTGAGAAAAGCAAAATAAAACTCAAGTTTGCGTTTTTGGGGGAGGCAACCATAACCAGTGCGTAGTTACTGACGAGCTCTGTATAGTAGTATGCTTATCCGTTCAGATAACTTGTGTTTTCGCTTCAAAATAGCTTCAAAAGAAAATTTTTGCGTTTGAAGAATTTTTGTCCGCGACATTGTGACGCGGTCATTTTCGGACTTTTTTTGGAAAAAGATTCTTAAAATTTTTAGAATACATGTTTCTCAAAAAGCGTAGATCGTAGATCTTGAAAAGCTCTATCACCTCATGCAATTATAACCTTTTTGCATTCTTGTTTTTCTTCTGAAAAAGAGCGATGAACAAGAGAGGGAGGCTTGTCCGCAACTTTTTGGCGGTCACTGTATGTGCTTATATCTAGAAAGGAATGTGTTTTTGGTCGAAGTGGCTATTCTAAATGAGGTTTGTAGCATTTTGTAAATAATCAGACGCCGATTACAGATCTGTCAATCGGTTTGAATGATTTTGCTCCAGCTGTGCGTGTTTTTTTTTTGAGTAAAAATGTTCATAACTCGGCATGCAGGGGTGCACAGCAGACAACGAAAACAGATACCTCTTTTAAATGCTTTTAATACTCTTTAAACCTATGTACATTTCATCTGCAAAGGCCACCTCGATCAAAAACATTTTACTAATAAGCAAGTAGGAGGAGTATATGGGGGAGGGGGTATAACGGTTTGCTTTAGTCATTATTCTGTGCAACCGGAGTTTCGACAGCCTATACATGTAGATATTATGTTAACGTCTACTGTAAGACCACGTGCGAGTTTACTGCGTTTATAGGCAGGCCGTGCTGTGCTCGGAGAGTAACGCTATCTATCAAAAATAGTCCATGACTGCACAAGGCGTAGAGAAAAAAGGGCGAGAATGCACAAGGAAAGAGGAGTGATGCGCGCTACAGCACTCTAGGTCCTGCGCGAACGGCCAGTAGAGATTCAATTAGAGATTCAAGATTAGTCTCCTTTGATTGCCTCTATCTTTTTGAATAATTGTTCACTCCCGCGATTAATAAAATCTTGTAGGCCTTGCCTTTCTCTATCCAACAGCCTGTGGCATGCCCCATTTAGTACCCACTTCGAAGCAAAACTATGTCGACGTGCAATATACGAAAGCTTTCTTGCCAATCTAGTACAGCTGGTGTACCCTGATGAGGAGAGAATATTTGAGAGAAGTGGCCATTTTTAAACAGAGTACCCTTTAACAACTGGATTGGCGGCTGGAAGGCGGGGTTCGTGACCTAATTAAGGCTAGGGAGCGATCAGAGTGCACGTTCGCGTGAGAGAGACGCAGATTGCGTCGGGACCAGGGTCAAGCAAGGGGTGTGGCACACGATCGCTGGTTACGACCCTTCCCCTGATTGCTGTTAAGACCCCCACCCTGAACTATATACCTAAGATAGCATTACCAGAGTTGAGAAAGAGGTCAGGCACAAGTCTTTCGAAACCCCCCCCCCTCCCATGAAAGCCCTCAAGCAACCCCTTCTTCCTCCTCTTAACCTCTGTACCTCAAAGTGTGACATTCTGGAGGACACCATCTTTTTCTAGAGCTTTTTCAGATTTCTGAGAGCTGTACGCCCGATTTTCTGAGACTGCACTTTACAATCACACTTAATTTGACGGCTGATTTTGATCTGAATAGGCATATTGAAAGGGCTATAATTTTCTTACGGGTGGGGCGTTTGGCTCCTAATTTCAAATGTAGCAAGAAGAAGCTATGTGCTCAATAATCATACCAGCAATGGAGCGCTTTCTGGATTTTGAAGGCGTTAAGGGGGTGCGGCACACTACTATAAAAGCTGCGGCAGCCGCAACTTTTGAGGGGGTGTGCCGCACCCCATTAACTATATCAAAAAACATTTTTAGCGGACATTGTTTATATGAATCGATAGCCTAAACCTTGTAGATTCTATAGGACTGTTTGGAGCCCGATTTGTCTTCTTAGCTCTAGGTAATACTTGATGAAAGCACAGCGATCAAAAGCGAAAAATGGGAAATACGAGATTTTGGTTGGCTTCTAATTCTACAGTTTGCAGGTCTTCTGAAGCGGGATTCCTGAGATGGACAAAGAAGGAGTGGTGCTTTGTCTTGAGTGCAAAAACGGATAGCTAATTCACTTTTGAAACAAAGTTAACCATGTTGGAATTTGACCATTTCATTTAGGTAGCCTAGTAATAAGTTGGCACATAAGTTTTGCAACCTTGTCCATAACTTCTTTCTCTATGAATGAGGCGCATTCAAATTTTGGCATTATGTAGACTCGGAAGTGCGCTATAACTCTGCGCAAACCGTTTGATTTCATGTGGTAAAGTGGAAAAAATCTGCGTAATCTCCTAAAAGCAGTCAAAATTGAGGTTTTGTGGTTTTTTTAGCGAAAATGAAGACCTACAGAAAGTAAGTTAAACAAATTTAGCCGAAACTGTAGGCAAAATGTTCTCAGAGGGTGGCTACTGAACTCAGCGAAAAAAGAATTGTAATTCATCGTTAAATCGAAATCCGGCGATTTCATAAACTCGAACAAGTCGAATGCGTCAAAGTAGCTTGGATAATTCATCAATGCCAAAGAGTCAGAATCATCAAATTTTGGCGTAACTTTGCACGATGGGGTAACTTGACATGTTGAATACGAATATCATATTTAATTGCTATCAGAGTCAAAAATTAGTCTAGTGATTTTTTGAAATTCAACTTTTTCGCAGCAAAATAATTTCTTCAAGCAAAATGAATATCATTTTCGTAATCGGGATGTCGATTAACCCCCTTAGACCAAGTTTTACCCTAATCCGTGTCAATTACTTTTTCTTTCTCATTCAAAAACTGCCTTACCGTAACTCTCGATCGTAATGTTGGAATACGGCAGGAACGGTTGCTTTCGCTGTTAACACGATACTCATTACAATACCAGAAAATGAAAGCGCCACATCGCAAAACACACGAGTTATAAGAAAAAGTTGCAAAATTTATGTGCCAACATAATATATTGAATCTTCAGAATTCGCTCAAACTTTGTCTACAGGGGTTAATTGACATGTTAATTATGGATATGATACGAATATCATGTTATCACTATTATCAGATTACCCAACTACGACCCCTCCCCTTTTGACTCCTCAATACTACCCTCCGGTGTGGCGTGCCGCACCCCGCGCTTGACCCTGGTCGGGACCCGAGCATCTTTCGGCCGCGATATCGTTGAATCAAAAGATATATTTGTATATAGCCCTCGAAGCGCTGATCTCGAATCTATCTATATTGCTCCCGGAGCCTCTAATATGCTAGTGCGTGGGAAGGCATTGCAGTTGGGCCCTGTGGTGGTGTAGTGATAAATGACTTGTTTTGAAGGCAACAAACCAGGGTTCGAGTATCATACATTTTTCTCGACCATATGGTTTGCTCCATTCAAACCAAATACCGAAAGAATATGATGAATTTTGAAAGACCACTGTGCCTATTTGGCAAACGTGGGACATTGTGCTGCTAACGATTTACTTTTAACTTTTATTGAAATTTATCATAAAAGTTGTATTGATGCGTGTTATTCTACAAATGTTTTGTGCAAGTACGATAAGCAATTACAAAATGTTTGGAGCAAAAAGCAATTTTTTGTTGTGATTTTCCGCAAGTAGACGGCATTTTCTTGATATTTTGAACGATTCTTTTATGCCGTATAGGTTTTGATTGGTGACACACTTTATTACTGCCTTACGTTCGGTAAAACACGGTCTTCAGAGGCTGGAAAGGAGTCAGTCACCTTGACATTGTCTTATTTGTAATTAAAGCGGCGCCCACGCCCAAAGATATTGCGCCTTCGTCATGCAGCCTTACTGCTTCTGCGCCTTTGTCTCCCACTAGTCCTTGAGTATGTTCTTTAGGACAAGGGAACGTCCGGCAAAGTGGGTGTTGCTAAAAGTTTTTATCGTTTTTCATTATCAGGCCCTCATCAGAGCATTCAATGAAGTACGGGACGACAAGGCGCGTCTGCGAACTGGATTGCTCCGAATGTGAATGCTGCTTCCGTCTCTGACTCGTTTGTCCGAAGTTTCAAATTCCAGATCAAATCCCACAGTTATGTGTAGAGTTTCACGACAACTTTGTGTCTTCAACTTCAATCGGGTCTAAAGGACGATATGCCACCGATAGATTACATTTCTAAGCCTAAGGCATACCGTACACGATCATCTCGCAATTATGCAAAGCCTCGTCCACCCAGATTCTCGACTTTCATGTTTTGGTCCGAGATTCATGTTCCGAGATTTGATGACAATTGCGTGTATAAGACATTCGATGTCAACTCCTTGTACACAATGTATCCATTGAAAGCGCCTTGCAAGCACTATCTGGAATGCTGGACACACATGGCAGGACCATGCTGATATACGGCCTTAGCAAGACGCGCATCGTAATGCTCATCAAAGAATGTCTAAGCTGCGATATTTTCAGGTGGTCTGGAAATTACTAGGCACAGATTAGAGGACTGGTAATGGGGCAAGATTTGCGCCCGTATTAGCAACCTGCTTTATGAACAAGATAGAACAATGTGCTATTCAGAAGCCGCTTGTGTACTGCATATATTGACGATTATTGTATTGTAACATCTACACAGTCCGATATGGAAGGGTGCTTCAAAATACTGGATCAACAATCGCAGTTAAATCCAAGAAGAGATAAACCGCGCAACGGGCGCTCCCTCTCTTAAATACGCAACTGATGATGAGTAAAGGCTCAATTAGCATCAAATGGTGTCGCAAAGAGAGCAAGAAAAACATAATTCTACACGCAAAATCCGCATTCGATGGCGGTCAAACGAGCTTAATTCACAACATGTTTGAGACGGCCAAGTATATCAGTTGTGGCAAAAGTGAAAGAGATGATTCAATAAAATTGGCGCTTCAAATGGATATACAGTGCAGCCCAAACATTCAAGAAGAACCCGAAAGAAGAAGAAGAAGGGTGAACAGAGTATCAACAGGGTACCTCTGTGCTTCCCTTTCATTTCCGAACGAGGCACTGCCGCAATTGAACAATGCCTAGTATAAGCACAGTGGAGGAAGACGTCATCTTGATCAATGTTCCGCGAACTAACTCTAAAATACATTTAGTTTTCAATAGACTGTTTGATAGTGCGTGATCACAGGAGATTACCTAGTGTACCACTACGGAAAAAACTGGAGACTGCGCAAAGTTTGGCGTCGTTCACTAAATTGGATGTGTGAGCTGCTCTGCCGTTTATATTGGAGAAACGGCAGGCCTCCGCTCAGCGTAAGGATAAACGAGCATTTAGCCAGCAAAAAACGACAAAATATAGTGTCCTCACCAGATAGACACAAAAATGTAGAGCACAACGGTGACGATTACAGCATCAAATGCAAGATACTGCCCTTCGAGTTTCAAAACGCTGCCCGAGCCTTAGAAGCATCTTACATACTTGCTCGTGACCCAAAAATGAACGGCAAGAATGAGAAGCTATCTATCACAAGTGATCTGCTGCCATATCTTGCGTCATGTAAACTGTAAGATTGCCACCTTCTGCTCATTCGACGAGTCATTCGAGCACGTCCTAAAGCAGCATATGCTGCTGCCACGGTGATACACTCGTTGGGAAGACTTCCACGCCCAGTATCTCCATCTTTACGCATGATGAATCGAATACGCGGATGAGAAGGTGCTTTTCGACAAGGAAAACATATCAAAGTGACTGACTCCTTTCCATGTTTCTGAAGGTGTTTAACCGGAACATAAGGCAGTATTAAAGTGTGTCACCAATAAAACCTGTATGGCATAAAAGAATCCTTCAAGTTATAAACTGAAATGCCCAGGTCACAAGAAAGAGGACTTATAGTATAGTCTTGAGATATAACCCAAAAGCGCGAAATGATTAAAGGCACCATCCACCCTAAGTAAGGTGTTTTGGGCTTTAGGCAGCTTATGGTAGTAGGACCTCCCCAACAAGCCCATGCCGCGCGGCGCGAAATGTCGCTTTGGAATCGAGAAAATCGCTCCGACAGCGAAGATGCATGAGAATCCTAAGTCGGCATTTCCTCTTCAGTAACGCCCGCCCATCCATGCGCGCCCACCCAATCACCGTTCCGGAAAGCCGGCCTGAGATTCTCCGGAACGAAACTTTTCGGGGTTTTCGCGGATTCTAGACTTATTCAGAACCGGGGGTATGTGAAGGTCCCAATCAAAACATGGACGTCGAAAATCTGGGTGGACAATGCCTTCGATCATCCGGAATGATCGCGTGAGGTACTAAAAATGTAATCTCGGTGGCATATCGTCCTTTAAACCCGATTGAAGTTGGAGACACAGTCGTCGCGGAACTCTATACATCAGTGTAGGATTCGATTTGGATCTGAAACGCTGGACATACGAGACAGAGACGGAAGCAGCATTCACATTCGGATCTTCGTATTCGCGCCTTTTCGTCCCGTACTTCATTGAATGCTCAGTTGAGGGCCTGATAATAAAAAACGATAAAAACTTTTAGCAACACCCACTTGCCGGACGTTCCCCTGTCCTAAAGAAAATACTCAAGGACTAGTGGAAGACAAAGGCGCAGAAGCAGTATAGGCTGCATGACGAGGGCGCAATATTTTTTGGGCGCGAACGCGGCTTTATTAGCCGCACGCGCATAAGGCGCAGGGATCACAACGGCGAGGGCACGAGCGTGCCGCGTTCGTTCCCGCTAAATTAGAAATGCTTTTGCGCCTTCGTCATGCTGTAGCCCTTAGTCCCTGCGCCTCATGCGCTCTGAGGCCAATTGGGCCACGTTCGCGTCCGAAGGTATTGCGCCTTCGTCATGAAGCAACCTATACATTGCAGTTTTTAAAATAATGAGTAAAGGAGAAATTTTGAATGAAGGGGAAATTGTGAATGGGCTTCGTCATGCCAGTAAAGCAGACACTTGTCTGACACGGTACCATTGACAGAAAATAGTTGGGCACACCCATTTGCGTAGCTTTTTCATAAGTTTTCACACAATTTTCGCTTCCCATTGCCCTTATACACTTGACATTCAAGTGGCTGTTTTTGTGAAAAAGCTACTCCTTGATTTTTACGACGTGAGAGGTTATGTCAGAGCACGTATGTCTGCCTTGTATGTGAACAGCTGAGGATGTAACAGAGAGCATGTATGAATGAAGGAAAGTCTAAGTATCGAATGCTGCTATGTCGAAACTTAAGGCCGTAGACCACCTAATAACCTGTACGGCAGAGCAGTGTTTAACACTTACGAAGATGCCTAGGTGTAGTGATTACGAAACATGAAAAAAGGCCTCTCTCCTTTCATCAGAAAAACGATATCTTGTTCACTTATTACCAGCCTTACTGACTTCTTAGAGCTTGTCATCTTACTAACATTTGCTTATTCTTTAGAAAACCCTTCTTGAGTTTGGCGCTATCTGGTACATGGATAGCTCCGTTGTTTTCAAAAAAGGTGACCTCAGTCACGTCTATGAGCTTGTGAAATGTAGAGAAATTGTCAAAGAAAGGTAAGACATTGACAATAGAGTTTTGTGGCTAAAAGTGCAGTTTAGGCCACCTCTGTTATCGTCGGAAGAAAGAGACGAGCGCGAAAACCGAACTGTGCTTGAAAGCGGCTGGGAAATTTCGCAGTATCGAAAAAATCTCGCTGAATGTAGAAAGGTGAAGGCTCCCAATCTTACGCTTCTTTTTGATCTTTTGTCAATAAGCTTGGAAATGCTTGGGATAGTCATAAAATTTACATATTCAAGAAGAGAATTCAAGGGAAGCGACTATGACAGTAAAAAACAATAGAGCAATTCTCCTTTTACTCTTAACCTAAAAAATTTACCTGTGGTAGATGTGACTGGAGACTTGTTGGGGACATCAAACCTAGTAGATTTCCATCGATTTGATCTAAATTAGTTGTCATTATAAGTTGTATACCTTAGCGTCTGTGTTGTTTTTTCAATGATTTTACCCTTTCTCAAGTGGCACTACCGCTTTTGTCCTACCGGCTCAACCGCAGGCTGTCGAATTGGTGCAATTACACAAATGCCTGTTAAAACGATGCACTGAAATAGAGACAATAAGCGAGCTTGCGGTCATAACTAAGTTCAATAGCAAGGGAAGCGTGAGATGCGATACTACTGAGATTGAATTCTGAAGAAATTATAATGATCTGCGATATCGACATAACTAGCGTGTGGTTCCCTCTCACCTAGGGCACTGAGTCTTTTTCCAAGCTGAACAGAAACTGATATTCAGTTCAAAATTATTTGTATAAGTAAACAAAAGTCTATCTTTCGATGAGCTGCCGCAACTCACAGTACCGTACAAGTTGTTGTTCCGAGTGCATTATACAAAAGTTCTTGATTGATTATTGTATACAAGTCCAAAGTGCCGCGTAGCGGCACTTTGGACTTGTAAGTTAGTAAGAGATAAAGTTAATAAGAGCTAAAGTTGATAAGCAAGAACTCTTTGAAAATTTATGTGGTTTTGCGTATCAACTCTGGTATATAAGTTGACCGCGACTTTCGAGTTTGAGTTGAATATTTATTTAATTTTTATGGTAACGAAATAAAAAACAATGAGCCAAAGTTTTTGAGTGAGCTTAATACGAAGCCTCATTATGTAACAGCTTATGTAAAGAAATGCATACAGGGCCCGGCACGAGGTCGGCAAATGACAAGCTGGAAATCGTTTTGGGGCCAAAAAGCAAAGAGGAAATCGTTTTTGCGAAGTCCGGGGCGGAGCCCCGAAAAAAAATTGGTAGTTCATGCTCGCTAGTTATCTTGACATGTTTTGTGCCTCAACAGGCAAACACTGGAGTTCGCGCGCGTCAAACCGCGCCGTCGTTAATTGCCGCTCGCGCGACGTCGCCCAAGCGATGCTATTTGTAACTGCATACATGACTAGTTCTCAATGTATGTGTAACGGTATGGCACCAAATTTTGTATGCGAACGGAGAGGGGCTAGTGGAAACATAGTATGAAAAATTTTGAAAAACTTATGTGAACGGAACGAGTAATTAGCATTTTTTCCGAGAATTTTGCAAAACTGGTAAATGGAGATGTGAATTCAAACGGCTCGTTTGGAACGCGCAGATGAACGATATGGTATAAAACTTGGTAAGTACATGACACGGGCTTGCAGGGCTTAACTGAGGAGTTTCATTGAAAAATTATGTGACTGAAGGTTGTGGCAAACTTTTTTCTGAAAATTTTGCGCTACCAAAGAAATGGAAAAATGGCTCGTTTGCAACGCAGAGTTAACGAAATCGCGCGAGTTTCGGTGTGTATATGCGCAATAGGACTAAGTTATAAAGTATGAAATATTATGAAAAACTTATGTGAATGAAGAGCGTGCTTAACTCATTTCCAAATTAGGTCGGCATTTGCCGACCTAATTCCCACCTGAGGTCGGCAAAACTTTCAATTCACATAATTTTTTCAAATTTTTTACATAAATCTGTTGTACACCTAAAGTTTACTACATGGTAAAATTTTGGTTCCGAAACTCCTCCTCTTGTCCTAGTTAGAGCCCAAAATCGCATCAGCAGCCTAGCTTTCTAAGATAGAAAGCGTGCCCCAGTCAATCAATACGCGCGGGAACGGCGTCTCTCATTCCTATGACTGCGTTTCTTTGATATTTTCTCATTCCTTAATCATTTTTATTGCTTATTTTCTTCCTGTTTTCTATTTTGATACAGCTGAGGAGTAATTTGAGGAATTTGAGCAATTTGGGCGCTTTTGAGCGCTTTTAGGCGAAGTGTGGCCGGTAATCTCGTCGTACAAGCACGAAACGTCATTTTTGGGCTTAAGGGGGTATTCGTAAAATTTATTGGGATCAAAGGGGAATTCGTTTTGGAAAACCCCGTTTGCCCACCTCGTGCCGGGCCCTGAATGCATAGCATAAATTTAGATGAACTTTATAAAACGCAGCACAGTATTTGGTCATATGTGAGCTTACTGCCTAGAAATTTCAAAATGTGATGAAATGCAGCTTATGTACAAAAGATAAGGCAGCAGATGAGATTGAGATCGTACAAGTAGATGATGATAAATGAGGTTGTTAAGGAGTAACGTTTCAATGCATAGGAACCGTTATATGTAACAGAAGTGCATAGCATATATATGGACGATCAAAATAGGATAAGATATTTCTAGTCTTGTTTAATGCATAGAGACCTTGAAGCGTAACATAACGCAGATGTAGATGATACAGATGCAAAATATTAGTAACAACGTTTACAACTAATCACTACTTCATAGCTAAAATTCTTCAGAAGGAAATTCGCGCATGATATTTTGCTTGTAGCAAAGTGCCATATTCAGTTGTATCAGTGGGGGTATGTATCCTTGTTCGAATGATGCTAGCAGAGTTTCACAGAACATGAAGAAACCTGATAATCACCTCTTGTAACCACTGCTGCACAAACGAAAACTTTGACAAAGTTACTGCAACTTCAAGATTGTCTATGTTTCAGGTGATATCTATCAGCTGTGTGCAACTGTGCAGTCTCGAAAAAAATGATTTTTCTTGATATTTGACAGGTGTAGCTTTATTCTGAATGGACTGTGCAGATGTATTTATCATGTTAGTGACTTTAGAATCCAAAATTTTTTCTCAAACAACTACATTCCCGAAAATATTTTTACCATATATTGAGGGTGATGAGCACAGATCCGTGATGAATTCAATCAACTGTGAATTCAAGGTTCTTCTAATGCACGCTGATAAGAGCATACACCATGAACATGGATGACTCGTAGAGCTTTTAGATTTGCCTTTTTATGTTAGTTTTCATGCATTTGCAGGAAGAATCTCTACGAACACTGATACATCAAACAGTGATGAACTTACTATTCATGATCTAAAAATTCTTCATTTCAAGAATCTTTGTAAATTTCTAAAAATATTCTAAATTGATGGAGGATAACTCAGACATAAAAACACCATAACTTATTTTTGGAAACAGTATGAAGTATAATAATTGGTATGTAATTTACTAAGTTGTTAAGTGTGTAAACTTCTATAATTATCCGTGTTGAGCGGCAAACTGTAGTTGTATAGCAAAAATTGAGCCAATAATCGTTTCGCCCAAGATGTTAAGTGAGTTAGTCAGGGTTGCATTGCTGCACTTGACATAAACAACCATATACGAAATTCAATGTCGCAGAATAATTGCGTAATAGTGCAAGGCCCTACATGGTTTCCGCTTGCTCGTTTGAGTAAACAGTTTGCAGACACGCATCCATGTGACGTCACAACCCCTTCGCGCTTTATATAGAACTAGCTGGCTTACCCGGCTCCGCCGTATCCGGACCAAACTTGGCACACATACACTTCGGGCCCCGGCGGGTGTCACAGTCCACTTTTCGTTATCGATCGATGTCGATTTTACCGATTTTTATCGATTTTTTTGCAGAGTTCACCTACAGGGCTAGGAGTTGGCACAGGGGGGAAGTGAGCATGGGGATTCCGAATACAATATTAGTTTTCAGAGTTATCGATTACTTTTATTGATTTTATCGATTTTTTGTAGATTTTGACATGCGAGGCTGGGATTTTGCACAGGGGGGTAATCGAGCATGCAGATTACGAACACAATATTAGTTTTCAGGATCGTCCATTACTTTTTCGATTTTATCGATTTTTTGAAAATTTGAGCTAGGGGGCTGGAATTTGGCACAGGAGTGTAATCGAGCATGCTGATCACCCCCCTTGGGGGTGATCAGCATGCTCGATTACCCCCCTGTGCGAACTCCCAGCCCCGTAGCTCAAACTTTGCAAAAAAAATCGATAAAATCGATAAAAGTAATCGATAATCCTGAAAACCAATATTGTATTCGGAATCCCCATGCTCGATTACCCCCCTGTGCCAACTCCCAGCCCCGTAGGTGAACTCAGCAAAAAAATCGATAAAAATCGATAAAATCGATATCGATCGATGACGAAAAGTAGCCTATGACACCCGCCGGGGCCCGTAGTGTATGTGTGCCAAGTTTGGTCCGGATCGGTTCAGAAATGGAATTTTCTATTCGGAACATACGTACATACATACAGACAGACAGACAGACATACAGACAGACAGACAAACAGACATTCAGCTTTATATATAAGACTAGCGACCCTACGGGTCGCTAGTAAGTGGGTAGGGGCAGATAAATAATAAGGGCAGATACATCGATTAATTAAAAGAAAACAAACAAGCCGCATAAATCACAGGAGTATTCTTGATCAAAGATAAAGCAGATTACCATGCAATGCGCTGAGTGATATAGTAGAGCAGTTCGGAAAGCAGAGCACACATAGAACGCCACGAACTCTTTTTGTTTCTGGCTATGAAAACCTTCCATTTGGAATTCCGTTTTCAAATTAATAGAATGATTTTAGTCATGCACAGTAGTTAAAAAAGTTACCCTATTTTCAGGTGTATAAGCCGCACCCTTTTTGCTCTAAACGCGAGCAGACCCAGGCGTGCCGCCGCGCATATGTCTCGCGAAGCGGTCGCCTTATCGCATACTGCTCTCACTTAACGCGCTCCATGATGACAGTCAGTCTTTTGGCGTGTCCGCCTTTAGAGTGAAAAGGGTGCGGCTTATACACCTGAAAATAGGGTACCTGTAATTTTTTTGTACTATTAGAAACGATGAAACATAGACCTTCTAGTACGTTGAACCGGTTGCATGATTCAGTTCTGCGATCTTGATAAAATCAGCGGTGAAAATTCAGTATGATAGGCGATAATTCAAACATCGCTGACTTTGCGCTTTATGTAGGATCAAATATTAGAAAAGCTGTTTTCAAAACCAAAGTAGATGCTGCAAAATTACTTTTTTGAAAAGGCGTATCAATGCGAAATTACCTGATCATGCAGTTTTTTTGGCTCCTAGTTGATAGATACTACTGTTATTTCAAAATTTCAAATGTATTTTCGAAACGACCTTAGTAAGCTATTCTGAAAACCGAAAAAAGATTCCAATAAATATGAATTTCAAAATGAACACCACCAAACCTCGACGACTTCCAGAGCACCGTCTCGTGTTCAGTGTTGCGAGTACGCATATAGAACTTTACGTTTCCTCTCTTTTTAGAACAATGAAAACTGCCGCCATCTCAGTTTACTTGAATGGCTGCACGAGTGGTCTCGTGAGTAATTTTCACACGTTTGGGAACTTCGGTTCCGTTCATACTTTCGCCTTGCTTAATTCAAACATGGCGTTAATTTCGGTGTTACACATGATGAAAAACATGTTAGAGATTTTTACCCAACGAGGTTTAATCTCACTATTGTGTTCCGTTCACACGCTACATTTCCTAGAGATTCCCCCCCCCCCGCCCTCAGCTCCTCTTTACCCGAAGCAAGTGACTGCCCATACCCGAAAAAGTTTTATCAGCCACGTGCGCTCTTCCCATCCGGATCCTGTTTTCACACTGAGTAACTTCCCAAGCTGCCTTAGAACACTCCACTCCCCCAAAAGTTCTTGCTCAGACTCTTACTCTTTCCGAAATTGAAATAGCAAGAAAATTCGAATTGACGTCTTTGAAAATATTTAGCCAACATCCAAACCAAATCTAGAGTTCATCAAAATTGAACACTCCCTCTTTCTTTTCACACAGTAACCTTTTTGCACAATTCCTCTTTCACTTCAAGATTTTATGACAAATCTCTCGATCGCATTTCGTAAGGGCTTTTCAGACTGTCCAGCATCCTTGCGATTCATCCATAGGTACTTAAAATCCACCAATCTTCAAATTATCTTATTGTTAGCAAGCAACTGATTCAAATTCTTGAAGGGACCTACTCAAAGATGTTTCGCTTTGAGCTGCTCACCTAAAATCTCCGCTCCTTATACAAATTTAAGGTTATTCACATTTGAAGAGCGTATGACTTCTGGATAGACAGTTTAGAGCTTTTATTAGCAGAAAACTCTGAGCAGAAAATTTTTCATACATCCATTGTAGAAAAAATACCCACGAAGTCAGTACAAAAGCATGTAAGATTTTTGAAGAGCGCTAATTTTTTTTCAGTTATTTGAGGCGCGCAGTGAAAACTTTGATAGTCCAAAATGCACTCTCTGACACGTTTTGAGTAGTAGACATTTGCAGAATGAATGATGTTTGTAAATAAATACCTCTTGAATGGCATGTTGCAATTTCACAGATGCTAAGCATCTGATTTGAGAATTTGTATCAATCACTGATCTCTTCCACAGAGTCAACAATGTTTTTTCTTAGAGAATTCAGTGACGCGCTGTTCAACAAAGTTGCACGATCAAAGCTGTGCTCAAATTACTGCTAAAAACACAGAATGAAGTTGCTTTTGAGTGGGTCAGTATGGAAGTTTGTGAAAAATAAATCACTTGAAATTCGTAAGACTGCCACTGTTCTGCTGTAATACCTGACAATCATTTTGCATGACATAAGCATCTCAAACGAAGTGCTCATTCCAAAAAAATCAAAGTTACAGACTGTCCGGTCATGAAAGAATTTGGAAAACTTCAACCTTCTTGCTAGATATTCTGGCAGGAAAAAGGCATGATAAAATTTTAGCAGAAAAAAGGCAGTACAATCCATCGGAAAAGATTTGGCACAGCTGTTTTGGGGAGAGGAAACATATTACGCACTCGAGAAATGAATAAGGGCGGCCACACTATTTTGCTGAGATATCTGACATTTTTAAAACTTATGGTGCACTCCAAATTAAACGCTCCAGTGTAGAAATAGAGAAGCTTGAAATGTAACAAAACAAAACAAAACAAATCTTCCAATAACGATTTCGGCGGCACTTGTTGGAACAGGAAAACGGTAATTATATGTTGGAAGTATTAATAGAGGTCGTGCTCAACTCAAAGGACTGAACAAACTTTCTAAAAACGGATTCGATGCAGTTTTCTGTGCAAACTTATCAGAGGTTTTGGGACAAATTGATTACTCTTGAATCATTCTAACACTGTCCAACAGCAAAGGTGGTGAACCGAATGAACCTGTTCAACAGGATAAGTCTGGCACCTGCCTTAGTGACATCGGACGTGCGCGGCGCAATGGCCGTACGCACGATCCGACTCTCGCGATCCTGCAGGCCCCTACAGGAGATTGGGGGGGGGGGGCAGGCGTTATGGAGCAAAGCTACGCCGCATTCCCCTGCGGTATATCCTGAGGCCACTTGCGTTGTGTCGCCTCAAATTGCAGCCACAGGAGTATCGGTGCTCTTGCCAGCGAATTAAACTATTTTCTATTGGTACGCTTCAAGATGTTCAAACTGCACAAATGCAATGAAAAAAATTGAAGAAAAGGATGAATCTCAGGGGTGAATTGAAGGCTGAATATGATATGAATCAAAAGCTGGATTTAAAAAGTGTTTAAGAGAGGTGGAATATGAGATTAGATGAGAAAACAAGAAGATTTTCCGTCAACGACTGTCCAAAAAAATCGATTTCGTTTTATTTTGCTTTCTCTTGGGTTCTTTCTTACAAACACTTCTTCCTCAAATTATATTTCTAATTTATCTTCAAAATCCGTTTATCATTCGAATTTTGATCCTTTTCTATGAAGAATATGGAGAACGGTTCGATCCGCTGCGTAACGCTAGCTCATCTGCGGCTGCAATTAGGAGCGACGCAACGCAAAATGCCCTCAGGATATACCGCAGGCAGATGCGGCGTAGCTTTGCTCCATAACGCCACGCCGCCGGAGATTGGTAAGTATCGCCCCTGGCAAGCCCGGTCGCGACCGCAAAATATTGCTCCTGAAGCAAGTAAACAGCAGAGACGCCTGTCGATTCAATCTCGTCCTTACCGAAGCACATAGTCATGCGGGACGCCTCGCTGCAACCAATAACAAACTCGCAATTGCCGTGTTGCAGCACGATCCCCGTTGGTAAGGAACAAAAGAATCGAGGGGTGTCTCTGTTCAGACTTCCGAAGGTGTTTACTCGCTTCAAAGCAATACTTTGCGATCGCGGCCGGGCTATGGCCTGCATAGGGACCTCGCTTTGATACTATGATGACGGTGAGGTGCTGCTCCCAAATCTGCCCGACACTGCCTTTGAAGGAGCGGCTCGGCAGAATGACAAATTTGGGATATTTCGTTCTCGGTTCCCCTGGATGAATTAAGCCCAAGACTGTGCTTTGCAGCTTCAAAAGATATCATAACGCGCTTTTCCAAAAGTGAAAAGTGATAATTGAGCGGACGGCGTATGCCTGCCCTCTAAGGCTCGTGGGTACGGTAATTACCGTGTCTCCACTCACGAGCGATCGCGCTCTAGAGAGCAGGCATACGTGGTACGCCCAAATAGCACTTTCAGTTCGGAAAAGCGGGCTATTGATATATTTTGAAGCTGCAAAACACAGTTTCAGACTTAGCTCATCCATGGGAACCGAAAACGATAAATATCCCGAAGTTATTATTTTTCCGAGCCGCTGCCTTTACAGTGTTAATTTAGTCAATGCAGCCGAATGTTTTCCGTCATAGTTGCCAGCAACTGTTGCCAGGTGCCGGATTTGGTATCACTCTGTATTATGCGCTCTCGGCAACAGTCGGCAACATATGACCGATCCCTGGGGAAACGGCCTGCTTCAGCTGTGCCTTTTTCAACGTCCTCAAAATACGCGTGATTATCCTTGTAGACAGCCTAAAGCACACGTAGGGAGCTGATCGGTAGTTCTGAAGCTCTTCTCTCTCGCCTTTTTTTTGTAGCAGAATTGTGCGGCATGTGCTCCACTGTTTGGGTATCCCTTTCTTCTTCATGTTAGAACTTTGAACATGAAAGTCAATAATCCTCTGCACTTTACAAGGAAATTTTCCCGTGCTGCAGGCAACTTTTTCATGTGTGCCCCAAGGCAGTGCTCGACAAACCCTAACGTGGAGATTGCTGGCTTACCTGGGGTTGTCCAATGCGCTATTCCCAAAAATCTACCTTGGAATGCGCGAAAATGGTGAAAAACAACATTTTGCGGGGGCATCAATTCAAAATATGGACGAGAGAAACAGTCCCCCCATGGTGAGACGTTGCAGTACCCTTACGGTTACAACATTGCGGCAATCTCCGATGGTGGGAAGGAAATCACGAAGAGTAGAAAGTGTTAGACCTGATGACACGGTATTTGCTTGGTGGGAGACACGTAAGACAGAACACTTTTAAATGACCAGATTAAATCCTGTATGTCTTCAATCAAATGTCAGAAGCCACAATCTCGAAAAGCCTACCTAGGTATAGTCGAGTAGATCTGACGGTATTCTCCTCAGGTAGGTTAACCCAAAGTATGATACAAATTTGTTACATAAATCTCTACACAAATACATTAAGAAGGAGACCCTACACACCTATATAAAGCAGTGTACGCTCGAGAGAGTGGCAACAAACACAGCGAAACACTAGAAAACCACAAGTTTTATTGAGAGCGAAGAGGGCCAGGGGTATCGCTTCTTTAGCCCTTCGAGGCAATAAACGCAATGAGGTCCACAACGCGGCATGAATAACCAAACTCGTTGTCATACCTAATTAGAAGACCACTTAATACCATAAGATATACTACAAAGACTTACCATGAGATAAGCTTGACAAAATTGGGGTTGAGAGAAATGCAAGCTCCGGGTTGAGCCAGAGTGCGCGGCGTACGGGCGTACGTGACGTACGCAGCGTACGCTCGGTATATTTTATCATAGGAGAGTACGCGGCGTACGCTGCGTACGACGAAATCAGTCGACACGACCTGATCCTCTGTGTATCCCAAAATACCCTTCATTGGACCCTCAGAGGCTGCCTTGACGACCTAGGGCAGGAACTCAGCACTTTGATTGACGTCACTCAACAAACCTTTTTGATGTCATCCATGGAAGCCGCTTTCTGCAGACGGCAAGTGAGATCGACTACCGAGACATCAGGGGTTGGCACACGGAAGGCCATTCCAGTGAGTTTTCCATTTAGAGCTGGGATGACCTTGCCGACAGCCTTGGCAGCACCAGTCGAAGCAGGGATGATGTTCTGGCCTGCACCACGTCCATCACGATAGTGCTTTCCTGATGGGCCATCAACTGTTTTCTGCGTCGCCGTTGTGGCGTGGACGGTAGTCATAAGTCCTTCGATGATTGTGAAGTTGTCATTGATAACCTTATTAAGTGGAGCAAGACAGTTTGTGGTGCAAGAAGCATTACTGAAACAGAAATGAGTCCAGTAAGGAAATGTGCACACTGAAGCGATAAAAGCGCACCTGATAATGTGCTTTTTAGCAGCATCGTACTTTTCGTGGTTCACACCCATTACAAACATCGATGCATCTGCAGATGGTGCTGAGATGACTACCTAAAACACTGCTCATTATTCAAAAGATTAGTATTTTCATCGATGGCAAACGTTGTACCTTTTTAGCGCCTCCTTTCAAGTGAGCAGATGCTCTCTCGATGGTAGTGAACACACCTGTAGATTCAACAATGATTTGGGCTCCATCAGATCCCCATAGAATTTCAACAGGATCCTTGCTGTAAAAACTCACAAATCATATTATTCAAGAAGAGTTTTGCAAGCATTATCATCCATATTTCTGTCATTCAACTACAATTAATAAGCACTTTCCCTTTACAATCCATTAGAGATTTTAGCGGGCTTGCCACGCCCGACTTTTTTCACATTTTTTTTTCAATTTACAAGACTTTTTTTGTAATTCAAAGATTGCTTTCAATTATCTTCAAGTGAAAAGTCACGCGCGCACTTTTACAACTAACGTGGTATCGAGTTAGAGCACGGTGGCTGTTCGAGCTATCTTTTTACATAACGTATTCTAACTGCTAGATTCTACGATCACAGAGCAAAACGAATGAGAGGTAAGCAATTTATGGCGGCAGTGATGCCTGTCTAAGGCTTCGTTCATACTGATCCCAAAGTCCCGGAACAGTTCCAGCACAGCGCTCGAATTAAGCGCTGTGCTGGAACTGTTCCCAAATTTTGGGATCGATATGAACGCAGCCTTTTGCGCCATGAATCCATGTGAGATACGATCCCGGGGCACAGTTTCGAGGCGCATCTCTCAGCCGTTAGAGCACTACCTGAGCTGCCTGTTGGGCAGTGGCTTAGATAGGGCCCCAAAATGGGTGTGTGACGTTTCGCACGACCGTAATGCTTTCCACACAGGACCATCGCCGCGCGCGACACACCCTGCGGCGGCTTTTGCCTAAGCAAAACACGGGGAGGAAAGATTTGCGGCGTGCATTACATGTTAAGACAAGTCTCAAAATCAGGGAGACGCTGGAGACCGCCCGTGCGAAAAGACCGTCTCCCCCCCCCAAAATTACTTTCCACGTAAAATTCGCATAGGTCCAGATCTGCCTAAACGCTGCCTTTAAAAACCATGAGATATCTATGAAGAAAAACTTACAACAGTGTGTGTAAATACGTCAAATTCTTTATCCATGTCTTTCGGGTCCATCAAAACGTGGATGGTCAAATTCTCTCTGATGATTACGGTTTTAACAATTTCAATTGTCAACACCTAAATTAATAAATTAAACACTGTGCTTTAAATATAAAAAAAACTTACTGTGCTAAAATGATAGTCCCGATAAGAAAACTTCTCATCAATGCCCGCAGAGTACTCCACGGCTACAGTTACAGGTACAGGCAACGCTTCGACAGCCGCCGGCAGCGGCCTTCTACAGGAAGTGCACTTTTTAGTAAATCTTCAGTTGAAATGTTTGCCATGATACTAAACATCAAGTTTTAAACGACACATTGACAACCATCTCTATAACATAAGTTTCAGGCAACAACTACTATGAAGTTACCAAACTATAGGGCTCAGGATCGCGAGAGTCGGTGAGTTTGCGGCCATTGCGCACGCAGGATGCTACAAGGCCTCAAACCACTCAAACAATCCTTTATTTCTCGGAATCGCCTTAAATAATCAGAAGCTTACATTTGATAGCAGAAAAACGTCTAAAAAGCGAAAAAAGACCGAGAAAGCTCAATGCGCGAGCAATGGCCGCAACCTCACCGACTCTCGCGATCCTGCAGGCCCCTATACAAAAAAATCCTGGAAACAGGCTGCGAACCAAACTGAGTGTGAAAAAAAAAGGATATTCAATTATGCTTGCTCGAAAGAACTTAACCTAAACTTGTTTGTTGAAGACAAAGAGAGCAAAGTCGCAAATCCAAAACCAAAAACGTTTTTGGTGAAAAGTACAATCATTTATATTGTACATAATTGTGAGGAGAACTTCGTGTCTGCCTAGTTGTTTAAATAAGAAGGGCAAAACTTCAAAAAGGGGCAAAATTCAGAGCATTTTTAGATGAATTTATGGGAAGTATCAAGAAAACTTCCATTTTTGAAATGACGACCTACGAGACGAAATCACATGTGGGGGACGACTCAACCTGTGATTTGAGAATTAAATGAATCAAAGAATCAAATCAAAAATCACATGTGACAACTCAATAATATCTCAAGTCTGCGTGACTGCTTAGAAACAAGGAAGGCAAAAAGATTTTTGATTTTGAAATCAAGAACTATGACACGAAAAGAAATGAGGAGAGGGTGATCGAGAAAAGATAAAACGGATATTCAAATGGTAATTCCTCCAAAACGCTTCATGTGTGCGTAATTGATCAGCAAGTACACCAAATTGAAGCAATTATGCGAAATTGCAAAACATTTATTCTCATGAAGAACTACAATACGAAAAAGCATAGCTAAGATGGAACAGAACAAGTTCTTCAGCCGCATAAAAAGATGATGAAATATGTAACGCCGACATGATTCAACTCCAAAACGAAGCGCTTTTAACTATGGCAAAAATAACAATAGAACGAATCAAAGAAGAACAACCATTATCGACCGCCTCAGAAGCGTGTCGAAGAACGCAGGAACGAAACAAAAAATCAAAAAAAAGGAAAGCGACCATTTTAGCGTGTCGAAATACGCAATGAGAATGGGAAATCGAAGCAAAGGGCAGCTCACCATCCCACATGACTTCCAGACTGGAAAACAACAGACACGAAAACACTGTCGCAAACCAGAAAAACACCATCGAAGACGTACAGACAGCATCAACATGCTTATCCACCAACGTACAGACAAGTACACCATTCGGTTTTATATATATAGAAGGATATGATAAACAAAAATAACATTTTCTTTTACAGTCCGCATGTTTGCTGCACTGGTACGCAGGGCATGGCATTTACACTGCCACTTCACCAAGTTAGTCGTGATTGGAATCGCGATTATCATAACATCCCAGTTAAGCGCACAGTCTCTTACTTTAGTAATCTACGATTTCATTCCAACAAACAAGAAGGAAATTAAGAAACCGAAAGCGAAGATGTATGACGCTGCTTTGATTTTTGTCGCTCGAACAAGAGATGCAATTGAACAGATATTGAAATGGTACTTTCTTAGATACTTGAAGTGTAACTTTGTTAGTATATGTTTGCTGATCCCATGTTCAATTAAGGCTTGTTCTCTGCGCGCTCGAAGAAAGGTGCATGGCGGGCACCGGTAATGAGTCTCTTCCTTGCAGATTCGGAAACCGTTTCTCGGATGAACCAAGGTGCCATAGGTTAGTTGAGTACACATAATTTGACCTCACAAGCTTCAGAAATGTTTGGTGGATCCATTGCTCTGATTCTAATTCTATGCAAGTGTCCTTCAACATTCATTTAGGGCCTAATGCATAAAATCTCCTCCTTGATCGGAAGTATAAAGTCGGTGCGTAACGCACTAGCAAGGAAAGGATACTCGGTGACCGTGGCCATCAGAAATGGGATGTATACCGTAAGATGCACCTCGAAATGCTGATTCTAAATCTGTGCTCTACATCTGCGAAACGATTTTCTGAAGGAAGTTATGAGCTTTTTTCGTAGGAAATTTGCGTACTTTTGGGTAGTAAAAATCACCAAATTCATTCTAGTTTACCATTTGAAGCTGTTGAAAGGAATTTTAGAAGGTATACTGTTGTATTATATTACACCTATCTAAATCATATTCAGCATTTGAGAGGGAAAGAAAAATTTTTATTAATGATTTTCACTATCCGCAGTAACGCAATTTATTTATGAAAAAATAATCATAACTCCATCCAAATCATCGTTTCGCAGATATGGAAGACAGTTTTTGAACCAGCATTAAAAGGCGCATTTTTTGATATATAAGTCATTATGAATGGCCACCAAGTATCCTTCCCTTGTAAGTCATCTACCTAACAGGGAAGCATCCCTGGCCTTTTGAGATGAGATGTAACCGTTAAAATCGTCTTGGAACGTCCGAATCGAATTTTTATTTCTGCTATTCTTTTCTATAAAAAAGGTTTTAAAGGATTTTTGCGCCAAGGTCGGCTCCCAGGGGTGATACGACCGGAAAGCAACTCCTACATTTTGATCACTTTGTCACAGACTTCCATCACTGTGTTTATGCATTCGTTTTCCATTCGTTATTTTTATAAGCACTTAGAATAAATATAGAATAAATATGTATAGAAAACGTTCATATAGAAATGACTCCTCATTGAATTTTCAAGTAAAGGCATGTCTTTATCTCGAGGATGCCTTACTTTCAAAAAAAGCTTAATTGAGGCAATGCAAAACTGAGGACACAAAAGGATTAGTACTTACATTTCCGTCAACTTGTGGGGCTTCGCAGTAAGCACTACAACTCAGCGTAACGGCGGCATTGGCCGTGCGATCGTCTTTTCGTAAATCATAGCTTTTTTCAGAGAGACGATTAGCAGGAACGGAAGTTTGGAATTGGGATCAGCGTTTCGTAGGAGTGTAATGTTGTACATCTCATCTCAAAAGGCCACAGACATCTAGTATATTGAGTAACCTATCTGACAAGGGAAAGATACTCGATGTCCGCATGCCTTCGAGGTGAGATGTAAACCATTATACTCGTCTTGGAACTCTGATTCCGAATCTTACTTCAATTTCTGCTAATCATCTTTATGAAAGAAATTATGAACGATTTTCGCGCCAAGTTGGCTGCCTTGATGCAGGTGTAGGTCCAAATCTTTGTGTGTTCTTCAATTTAAATTGCTGCAATTAAGCTTCTTTCTAAAAGTTAGGCATCCTGGAGGTAAATGCATGTTTTTGTGTCCTTACTCTTTGAAAATTAAGCGAAGGACTCATTTTTATACGAGTGTGTTCTAGTAAAGTACTTACTTGTTTTGAGTGCAAAGAGTGCAAGTCGTGCGTCGCCTTATGTATGCACTTGTTAAAGCTTGTTTATCTTGTTCGAGTAAATTTAGCAGAGTCATAACCAATGGATAGATGTTGGAGCAAATAGTAATCATTTTTCTCAATTTTCCACGTTCTCTGAAGAGTAACCGCTTTCATATACTTCGAAGATGCCTAAATATGAAGAAGCCTAATTGAGAAACTGAAAAACAAAAAAGGGCAACGGAAAGCCTACACCTACATCATCATTTGGGATCAGGGTCAAGCAAGGGGTGTGACACACGATCGCTGGTTACGACCCCCCCCCCCACCCCCCTGAACTATATATCGTTCATTCGTTGACCGTACGGACTGCCGACCGCGTGGCGACTGCGACGCGTGCCTTCTAAACTTGCGAAAAAGTGACAAGTTGGACCGTGGCTTAAGATGAGAAGAATTCTTTGTTTCTTTTCTACACTATAAAGATGAGAAGAATCCTCTGTTTTCTCTCTATTCATCTTTTCTACGAAAACATCATGCACGCGCAGCAGTCGCCGCGCGGTCAGCAGTCGTTACGGTCAACGAATAAACGATACCTAAGATAGCATTACCAGAGTTGAGAAAGAGGTCAGGCACAAGTCTTTCGAACCCCCCCCCCCCATGAAAGCCCTCAAACGACCCCTTCTTTCTCCTCTTAACCTCTGGACCTCAGTGTGACATTCTGGAGGACACTATCTTTTTCTAGAGAGTTTCCAGATTTCTGAGAGCTGTACGCCCGATTTTCTGTGACTGCACTTTACAATCACACGTAATTTGACGGCTGATTTTGATCTGAATGGGCATATTGAAAGGGCCATAATTTTCTTATGGGCGAGGCGTTCGACTCCAAATTTCCAATGTAGCAAGAAGAAGTTATGTGCTCAATATTCATACCAGCGATGGAGCGCTTTCTGGATTTTGAAGGCAAGTTAAGGGGGTGTGCGCACCCCATTAACTATATCAAAAAACATTTTTAGCGGACAGTATTTATATGAATCGAGCCTAAACCTTGTAGATTCCATAGGACTGTTTGGAGCCTGATTTGTCTTCTTAGCTCTAAGTAATATTTGGTGAAAGCACAGCGATCAAACGCGAAAAATGGGAAAAACGAGATTTTGGTTGGCTTCTAATTCCACAGTTTGCAGGTCTTCTGAAGCGGGATTCCTGAGGTGGACAAAGAAGGAGTAGTGCTTTGTCTTGAGTGCAAAAACGGATAGCTAATTCACCTTTGAAACAAAGTTAACCATGTTGGAATTTGACCATTTCATTTAGGTAGCCTAGTATCTTGAATCTTCAGAATTCGCTCACACATTGTCTACAGGGGTTATTTGACATGCTAATTATGGATATGATACGAATATCATGTTATCACTATTGTGGGATTACCCAACTACGACCCCCTCCCCTTTTGGCTCCTCAATACGACCCCCCAGGTGTGGCGTGCCGCACCCCACGCTTGACCCTGTTTGGGACTCTCGCACTAACCACAACACCACAAAGTGGTGCTGTTGGTCGTCCCGACAGTCGTTACCTTGGGTGGTCAAACTTGGCGCGAAAATCCTTCACAACTTTTTTGGAGAAATCATTAACAGGACCAGAATTCAGATTTGGAATTAGCGTTTCAAGACAGGTGTAATAGTATACATATCATTTCAAAAGGCCATGCACTGAGTATCGTCTCTTGTGAGATAGGTTGCGGAAGTTTATCGATAGAGCAAAGTGAGCTCTACAAGATGGTGTTCGAATTGCGCCAACTTTGATGCCCGCAAGGTCTGAAGCCAAAACTAAAAAATCCCATTGCCCATTTTCATGAAAAGCGGAACTCTCTTTAAAACATGAATCTCAGACTAGCTCATGTGCACACTCTCTGCGTTATACTGCAGCGCGCCAGAAGTGCAGCCATGATTTGTTATCCTTCGCAGAACCTAGTTTTCGCGAATAAAGCTTTGAAAAATCTAGCCTAAAAAGTTACAAAAGGAGAACTATACCTGACATTTGGCGAAGACTAGCTCTCAAAGGAGGCTGTTTTTAAAAATTTGTAAACAAGCAGCAGTATTGGAACAGCTCAGCACTGCTTTGCTAAAACCTTGAAATTCTTTTTTCTTAACATTCAGATGAGTAAGAAATGCAGCAGCTGCACATATGACTGATTAATGTGGAAGATTTATGCATGAACCAGTAAGGGATCCGTGATATTTTTTCACGGTTTTCCAATTTTTCGGATATTTAGCATCGAAGCCGGTGCAAACTTTCAAAAACATTTTGTAGAGTCTGCTTTGCTTTATGGAGCTGCAGCCTGCAAGCTATATTTTAGGTAAGGTATATGATTTTTTTGCGTTTGACTTGTTTTGGTGCAAGAACTATGCATCAAATATTACCTTGAAAACAAAGTTTATATACTAAAGCACCAGAGATCTACATTTTACGTTGTCTGTTCACGCTGTGTTTTCACTGTCCCTTTTTGTAGGCATATTGTAAGAAAGGGTACTGCCGTGCAAGCCGTACTTTCAATTTCTCGTATAATCATCTGATGATTCCCAGCAACCAATCGTTTTTTCTATAAAGCCACTGTCCTTCCCTAAAAGTTTTCTGCTGATTATTCAACAATGCAAACAGTGTTGAGTATGTTTCTGGTGTAAACAAATGAAGTATTGAAGTAACTTAAGTTTTGATGAACCACAAGTCTATTCGATCACTTGAGATTTGTCAAAGATTCCAACAATCCAGTAGCTCCATGTTTTCTAGTTAGATCAGCAACGTCATATCAGCCACCGCGATCTTGTAATGTTGACTCAAAAGGAAGGAAAAATGAATTAGGAAAGAAAGACTGTTGACCGCTGGGGAACAACGGCCCATCATAATATTAGGTCATTCCATAAGATCTTAGCGTTTTCATTCTCGTCCTCGTTTCTCTGGAAGACGATTGTTTTGCGACAAGGTGCGCATATCGCTAGAATGAGCTAGTCATTGCCTTTACAATAAACCTATTGATTTCAATGAAGATTACCCGCTTCAATTTCTCAGCTTCCAAATGTGAAATTTGAAACTACAAAAAGAAGCAATTTTGACATCTGCTCATTTTTTCTTACAAAAAAAGTTTTGCATGGACTTTTATGCCGAATATGAGATTTGGCGCTTCCCGTCAATATGAGACGAAAAAGAGAGACTGCTCTAAAGAAACCAAAAATTCGCAGGGTGCTTTCTAAACAAGGCTTTTTGCAAGACGGGCAGGAGGTTCTGAGCTGAAAATTCTTAGCCAAAAACACAACGATCACACATAATGCAAGCAAACAGGCACTGTTTCAACGTATCCCTAAAAATATGACTCAAAGGACAAGTCCAATGAATGTGCATGACAAAGGATGGCTCC